TTACTAATGTAATTTATTTGGGGCTTTTTGAGAAACATGTCAACATTTAGTTCTCAAATCCACCGGCTATGAAATTAATTTTTTTTTACGCATTTGATGAAAAAGAATATTTAAAGATCATGATTACAAAGAATGAACTATTATGCTGGTTCTCATCTTACCAAAAATTTAGAAATTTCATATTCATACATGATATAAAAAGAGTTCCAGATCATAAAATCAAAGTAATGCAGCAGCAAGTCAACTTTAATGAAGCAAATTAATTTAAGCGATAAATTTCGCTGATATGGCTCTTGAGTAGAAATTTATTTCCTTTTTACAGCTGACGAAAAATTTAAAAGCCGTCGCGCTGATTTTTTGCGAGGCCTGATCTGCCCCACGGCGAGCGCGCTTGCCTCCTCTCGAAAGATCCGGCTCGTCGAAAATATGCAAATTTATTTAACGCAAGTGAATTTCTCTCTCCCTCTATCTATATCTACTCTTGATAAACAACTCGGTGTGCAGTTTTTGCATCGCAGAGTGCTTTTGCTGGACCAGGAAGATGTCGCTGACAAATTGCGCACAAATCACGGCCGAATTGCTTTCACTTATTGCTGTGCGCCCCGCGAGGCGAAGTAATAATGCTCATGCTCATTACTCAGCTCATTCGGTTCATTTCCCTGCACCCCAGGGCTCCGCACCGTACACAGCTGATTGCATGAAAAATCATTTCGACCAATTACTACCGACTGCGGTTGGCGCGCTCATTATTATCTGCGTCTATTATTGAGCTGAACCGCATAATTTCATTATTTTCTCACTTGCATTGTTACTTAAAAAAATGTAAACCAGGAAAATATTTCAATAAACTTGTATGAGGTGAAGTGATGTTGACGGGAAAGCATTTAATTATTGCATCTTCAATATAGACTTAATTAATTGGTAAGGAGAAATTTAATAAATAATTCATTTCATATCCTGGAAAGTTGATTTTTCTTATTAAATTAATAGGCTTTAGAAAAATTAGAGGCAAAAAGAATTTATTCATAATTATATCAAAATGCTTTTCAAATTTAATATCAATTAAATATTTCTAGGCGATCAATAAATAAAACTAAAGCAATGCTCTGAATGCTCAACCATCAGTGTGCTAAATTAAACATTTCTATTTTTTAATATCATGTAATTTGAAATAAAATTTTGCGACAATATTCTTACCTGGTTCTTTATAATATAATTTTTAAGTTTTAAGTAAATTATTCCAATGTTTACGTAACTTTGCATCACCCCAAAAATAAAAATAAAAATTTCTCTTCCTGTGATTTTGTATGCATGGCATTTCAATAAAAATTACGCATTATTCTAGAGATAGCATAATACGCATTTCACATAACAAGGATGTAGTGATATAATGCGCTTTCCAGAATGGTTTTTTGAAGTTAAATGCCGCAACGTGAAAGCCGATGGTGAGGAAAGGATTTGACTTTTTGCTCAGGATTTTCTGCGGTTTCTGATCTTTCTTCCGCGTGCAGTGGCATCCGAATTATATTATTACGAGCCGCATGCCTTTTCACACGACACAATAGGTGTCAAGCGCCACATGAGATGATAAAGTTCGCGGCGCGAGAAATGTCAGGAGGTCACTCTCCTTTATCTCAGAGACCAAATTTATTTCGCCTCGACACGCAGCATGCTGGCCTGAGGCTAAAATCAAGAAAGGAAAAAAAGAAGAATGTTTTGGAAAGAAATAATCTTTTTTTTTTAAAATTAATTGTAAGATATTTTAATACGGTGTTACATGATAATATTTAAAAATTAGGTATCTGGGCTCTTGAAATGCCATAAATAATATAAAACCAGCTAGTTTTAATAATTTTGATGTTAAAGCAATCATTTTAATAAGAAAGTCACAAAAATTATAGTTTATAGGTAACACTTTGAACTCTTTTTTGTATAAACATAGGACAACAATAAAACATTGGTGATTTGGTTTTGAAATGCAACATTGATAAGAATCCTATGAATCCAACTACAAAACCCTTCAAAATTATACCTTCACAAAAAAATAGGGAAATATATAATATTTGCATAATATGTGAATAAAATTAAGCTTCCTCATAAATTTACAAAAAAAAAGATATTTTGGCTACCTTTCAAATTGCAAATAATTTGTATGTTAAATAAAGAGCAATATTTGCAAGCTAATTTCACTGATCTGTTAAGTTTAAAAGAGAGACTTTTCCGAGGAATTTATGAGTCACGAAAAAAAGTGTCAACATAATAACCTTCTTAAATTTCTCTAAGGAAATGTTTGCGAATCAACACTTGCGCACATTTGCAGATAAACGTGAACTTTTTTTGGCTTCATGCCTAAAAAGTAATAAACTTGAAGACAACTTTTACAATCTCAAAAAAGCCGCTCCTCCTAGAGGAACAATCGATCGTCATTATTCACGGCGCGGTCATTAAAAAGCAAAAGTGTGTATTGAAACTCCTTTGATTTCCGCCGTCGGCTCTGGATTATCAATCGAATATGATTTTGGCCGCATAGAAAGTTGGCGGCGCTGGAAATATTGAAAAAGCGCCATTCAAATGTGATGGAGTGTATTCCTATCCGCGTATTAGCCTTGGTAATTATCGGTCGGCGAATTTCACTTTTAAAATTTTTCTCCGCGCAGCTCGCGAATTTTCGCCCCCCGGCAGCAAATTAATCAGGCGGCGACGGCCAATGTCGCGATTTTTTTCATCGATTCCACGCGTGCCCGCCGATTATATCTGTAAGCATCGTGCGTTTATATATTACGAGTTGTTTGTGCGTAGCTGCGGCTTTTGAGTCGAGGGAAATCAGGAGCGATTACGTGTTTGCGTCAGGGAAATCTCTTCGTTCTCACTTTTTATGGCGGAACTTGCACTTTTCAGCAGCGTGCGCTGCTCTCAATTACGAGGCAAATTAAAGCAAACATGCGTCTTTTTTTCACACGCTCTGCACCAAATAAGAGAAGGAAATTAGGAAGTGGCCCTAATATTACGCGAGAAGAACCTTTGCATGTTTCACAATGGATTAACTTTTGGACTAAACTTATCTGATGGTTGCACATTTGCATTCTCTGTTGTCTGTGCAATGTTGTGCATATGTAGTTCATTTGCATAGCAATTGTTAAACTCCAGACACTTTCAGTTAAGAATCATGAATGAATAAACAAAATGAAATAATGTTGAATTTCCCTAATTATATATTAACTTAGTTTCAAACTGAAATTTGACCTATCCAATTGATTAGAAACTTACATATTTCTTAACACAAGAAGCTTAATTGCTTTAATTATTTAGATTATTTATCATCTCATCTGCGCACAAAATATAAAATCAATCCTATTGTTAGACATGATGGCAAAAAATTGCAATTATTAAATTAACGTATAGTATATTATAAATATATCATATAAATCATATTTATAAGTTGACTTCAACTAAACAAATTGTAGCTCATAAATTCATAATTTTGTGGAATTTCTCTGATAAATAATTTTTATCAATGATCAATAAAAATGATTTGTTTTGCTCAGCAAAAGATATAATATATATTTATATTATTCGATATAAATCTGCATTTGTTAATATGACTTATTGGATAGGAAGCAATTATCACATTTTTATTTGCAAATCTTTCAAATCTCGTGTAACAATTTATTGTTACTGCTTCAAGGGTGAGATCTGAGAGGCTATAACTTAGAACAAAGTATGAAAACCGACTCCCAGTAGCAATTATCGCACTCTTTGTACAAACTGCGGTGAGAGATAATGTCTTAAGGAGCTCCAATTATATGCAAATGAGAATACAAAAACAAGCACCGGCGAGAATCAAATTTCAAGATAATGCATGAGACTGACAAACAAGATCCGCCGTGAATTTGTTTATGAACCCCAATTATCCGGCATGAGCAGGCGAATTTCCTTTTTCCGTTGAGAGCTTTTTTCAATTTAATTTTATTAATTAATTGCGCCTGGTTTCACGTTTATACGTTTTTCCCAAATGGCGCACTGAGGACCTTGGCCCTTTTTATAAAAGAAAAATCCGTCTTGTTAGCAGAATGGATTAATCACGAGTTACGTCATCGGTCACGATTGTTGACCAAGAGGAAAAATTAGGCTTAAATTAAAAGGTGAATTTTGGCAGATTTATTACGTACTGGAGCTTTGAACTATTGCATTAATACTAGAAAATTCTTTGGGTAAATTAATTATTCTCACAAAGTTGACATTTTTAGCAATTATTCACCCAAATTGGTTGTGTTATTAATTACACAAATTATATGTAAATTTAAAATAAGCAATTGATGTTATTTTTGAATATAAATTGGTTAATTAATTTTTAATTTCACCCATTGAGAGGTAACTACTCAAAATATGTCATGCCTAAGTAGTTAAAAGTTTGCATAATTAATAGTTAACAAATAAAAAATTAATAAAAAAATCCACATGTACTTATTACATTTTCTGATACAAAGTGGAGGATAATAGTTAAAATATAAAATTAAAAAGCTTATAAATTTGTATTTCATCACAAAATTTCGCAAAGAAATTTTTGCTTATTTCTGAAAATCAACTACCAATCAAAAATATTTGTAAATAACTAATGTAATGGTAATCACTGAATTTGTACAAACAAAAGTAAATAAATGATCTACAACACTCACGACATCTAATTAAGCTATGTGTTATGATGAGTTGCAGCCTCGAAACAAACACGTTTTTGACACGCGTACATTTGGTTACTTCTCACTTTAGACGTGAAGAGAAATGCAATTTTAAAGCTGTATCACGACTTTTTTTAGTAAATAATGCAAATTACTCGCACTTGTCAACATAAATATGATAAATATAACAAAATTATATTCCAAAAAGAAAACTCTTATTTGGATTTAAAATATTAAAAAGTTTTTATAAGTGACGTTTTCAATTCAGATTTAGCTCTCGAAAATTGTAAAAACTTAAGCAAGTCGAATTTAAAAGTTACTTACGCTATCAGAGCGAGTGTGGTGCGCATATTTCTCGAGCGGTCACAAGCAAATCACAAATTACACTGCGGCGCGAGTATGGATCACTCGGAAGTTTCTTCTTCTCGGACGGTTCCCCTGATTGCACCGGGCGGGCACGGAGGCCGCCGGGGGCTGAGACCTGGCAGGAAGTGGGAGCACCTCCGCCAGGTGGGGGCCGTGGGTGTGGATCGAGCAGCAGGCTCTTCGCAGCCTCTGACCAACTAACCGACATCGGCGCAGCCGCCGAGCCAAACTTTCACCCCTGCAGATTCTCTCCTCCGCCGCAGAGCAGCTTTGCTCGGGTGCCGAGCCAGATGACCAGCTTGACACGACACCACCTGACCGGCTCTGTGGACCGCTTTTGATGTCGTTTTCTGTACTTGATGTACATTAATTAAAGCGAGAAATTTAAAATGAGACTAAAATAAACTGACGTAGGAAATATATGATTAACAAATTTTTAACTAATTATCATTTCTTAATTAACCTTATACTTTAATGCTGTTATCTCTAGAAAAAGTAAATAATTTATAAATTATTTTTTTTAACGGGACCCACTTTTGGCATGGGGTCAGCGGATCTTGTTGAAAATTGGTAGTTTGGTTGCCCTCAGGGTGTAGACAAATAGTTTAGAAGGATTTTTGAAAATTCTCAAAATTGCCTATTTTACAGGGGCTCAAAGTTGGGGATTTTTAAAAAAGGTGTTTTTGAAAATCAAAAATATCTCAGCTCCTGCTGCAGATAGCGCATGTGTGTATATAAACAAAGTTGTAGGAAATTAGACGCCCTACAACTTTGCCATAGTGACCAAGGTCATAGGTCAAAGTTCAGGGTCAACTTTTTAAGCTTGAATTTTTTGATGCGCCACCAAAGTACCTAGTACATAAAAATTTTTAATTCCATTATAGCCAAAAGTTGCGCTAGTTGGTAGTCAACAACATATTAAAATTTGGCGAGACTGTTTTTTTCCGTTTTCGAGATATTTTAGGTCAAAAGCAGAAAAACGTGGTTTTCCGAGCATTTTCCTACACAAATCAACATTTAACCGCCCGTAACTTTTTTCCTGCTAAAGTTACGCAAAAATGTATAATGACAAAAAATGATTGCCTTGACCTGTTCTTTCAAACCATGTATCGCACATAGTGACCAGGTCACAAAAGGTCATTGACCTCGGTGACCTGTGACCTTGCAAGTGCAAAACTGAATTTCAGATACTCTAATGTTTATTTTCATTGAGGTGAAACATTTCCAGCAAATATTTTTGGAAAGGTCACAGGTCACCGAGGTCAATGACCTTTTGTGACCTGGTCACTATGTGCGATACATGGTTTGAAAGAACAGGTCAAGGCAATCATTTTTTGTCATTATACATTTTTGCGTAACTATAGCAGGAAAAAAGTTACGGGTGGATAAATGTTGATTTGTGTAGGAAAATGCTCGGAAAACCACGTTTTTCTGCTTTTGACCTAAAATATCTCGAAAACGGAAAAAAACAGTCTCGCCAAATTTTAATATGTTGTTGACTACCAACTAGCGCAACTTTTGGCTATAATGGAATTAAAAATTTTTATGTACTAGGTACTTTGGTGGCGCATCAAAAAATTCAAGCTTAAAAAGTTGACCCTGAACTTTGACCTATGACCTTGGTCACTATGGCAAAGTTGTAGGGCGTCTAATTTCCTACAACTTTGTTTATATACACACATGCGCTATCTGCAGCAGGAGCTGAGATATTTTTGATTTTCAAAAACACCTTTTTTAAAAATCCCCAACTTTGAGCCCCTGTAAAATAGGCAATTTTGAGAATTTTCAAAAATCCTTCTAAACTTTTTGTCTACACCCTGAGGGCAACCAAACTACCAATTTTCAACAAGATCCGCCGACCCCATGCCAAAAGTGGGTCCCGTTAAAAAAAATAATGCCTTATAAAAATTTGTATGTACACTTGTCAATATAGAACATAAATTTTAGTAAGACAAAGTAAATTAACGTTCATGAAAATTGATGAAAATGTTAATAATTATTATCGCCTACTAAAAGTAAGCCAAATTATGAAATTACAACTAACGGCGAATTATTCTTGCCTTAATAGTTGTGTTATTATTTAAAAATTGGCAAGAAACTACAAACAGAAAAATATTTATATTTAGTTACATTTATATAAAATTTACTATATTTCGAGAACAAAACATAAAAATTTTGAAGCAATTTCTTGGAATCTAGAATTTTTATTTCACATTTTTTTGTAATTCCTAAACCTAATTAAATGTGTTAAAAAGATTTTAAATTACCAAATTATTATATAAATTAATTCATTTATTTATTTATTTTCCATTCGGTACACAGTCATGAATAATATAAATTCATTCCATAATTAATATAACAGGAATGTAAGTAACTTTTCATAAATTTTTAACAACGCAGAAAAGATATTATATTGCTTTACTCCGTTAAAATTGACCAATCTCATGATGGTTTGCCATTGGTATATAGAAGTCGTCAAATGTTGCAAAGTATTTAAAAATAATAGCAGTGCTGTGATATTCCTAATTCTTCATACATTAGAATTTTCTTTAATTTGTATAGATCGATTGCGATTCAAAATTTGCAAGATTCAAAAAATTTAGTTGAGTATTGCTATAAGATTAAAAAAAAAAAAAATACAAACCACTCTTGGCTTAATTTCGTGCCTATCATGAATATTATAAATCGATGATTTGGTCTGCTCGGGGAAAGAAGCCTAATAGCTGCACTCTCTCCGATGGTTCTCCTATAAGCAAAAAGATCAAGCCACAAGGCCCTGCAAGCGACCTTCGATGTTTAGTAAGTCACTTTCTTCCTCCACGTATGCTTGTATTCGAAAAAGGATCGGCCCACCGGCTACTTCTGCTTTTCACGCGATCCTTTTCGCGACTCGATTGTCACAACTTTCGTTTTCTCGAGATAATTTTTATTTATTTATGGAGCGGGTTCCTTTCAACTCGCGCGTATGATAATGGAAAATTCACTTCCTTGCGTAACACGCCGTAAAAAATGAGCTGGGTCTGCTCATTGCACCGTGGCGCGGGCAGACGGACGAAGCCAATCTGACAAAGATTCGATTAAGATTAGCGCGGCGACCTTGATTTGACCCTGCCATTGAAATAAATGCAAATTCTCGCGAAGATGGAATAGCAATTAAAAAAAAACGAGTGGCGCCTCTTTTGCAATTGTAATTTCGCACACAAAATGAGTTGCTCTGACGTTTGCGTTGTAATCGTGAGAGTGAGATTCTTATTTTTTTTCTAGCACACAGAGAGCCTAAAGTTGTGGTTGCTGGTGATCGTAAATTTGCAAATTTTGATGAACTGTGTGCAAAGATTGTAATCCTTTTACCATTTCTTTCTCTAATGCCAAGGCCGCGGTATGCTAAAAATTTGGTAATTTTATTATTCATTAAGAATATTATTTCTTCCAATATCATTTAAATAAAAATAATAATGTCAAGAAAATGAAATTTTTTCATTTTCTAATTTTACTTATCTTTACAAAGGAATATTTAAATTTTTGATCATTAAGATTTTTTTAATAATTCTTCTAGAGAATGCTAAATTTCCTTTATTGAAGAGTATAATATAAAATATTTCTAATTTATAACCACGTCTTGTTCTATTTTATTGCTCTGAAAGTGAAATTTTTCCAATTAAGATTGTCTTATTGATGCAAGAGAAATCACAGTAGATTCACGTCTACAATAATTGCAAAAAGATCACATTTGTTTTTCTATCGCGTCCTCTTTCTTTCAATACCCTATCAAGCAAACAGTGCACATATATGTCCCATTGTGTCTCGGCGCCTTGTTACATTCAAGTTACAAATGAAAGTAAGCAAGTGCGTACGGCAGCGAATGTTAATTTCGCATTAAACGTTCTTTTGCAACGACGAAAGCATCATCCGATGTGCGGTGTGGGTTCCAATGAAAACCTTGCAAAATGTTACGTCAACGGAAAAAACGTCCAATAATTAGAATTTCACTTCGATTCTTAGGAAAACCACGACCTGTTCAGAAATTTATCACATCATAGATGAGCTTTTACTGAAAATAAAGCAATAAGAACTTTAAAAAAAATATGTTTCAAATGAAATGTATAAATGTTTGTACATTCTTGCCAGTTGATGTATAGTTATTTTTAAAAGAATGCAAGAACAAAATAAATAATTCAGAAATTTTTATAAATTGAAATGTCATTATTTCTTCACTGGCAAATTATCCAAATTGTTGAATCAATGTATAAATGAAAAGCTAAATTTTAAAATAGGGAATAATATTAAATAATTTATTATTTGCAAGGTGCAGACGACAAAACAACACCAAAGATATAGGAAGTGTAATAATATCAAGGTTATCAGGTCTGCTCTTTTAACATTGTAGCAAATAAATTAAGAGAAATAAATACCATTTTATTAAGAATTTAGTGAATTTATACTGAAGGCTGAAGGTTTTTGCGACTCCAACAAGGCGCAACTGGATTATTTAGTACAAAATGCGCTTCAATTCAACGATTATTTTTAAACCTAAAGCTTTTTTATTTAAAAAAAAAAAAATCATATCACGCAGATAAAACAGAAACTGGTGTAATGAAAATCGAGGCCAAACAGAAACAGGTATAAGTGTGAATTTTAATGATGTCTTTTCAGCTTAATTTATTATAACCATGCTTTTCAGCAAACTAGTCAAAACTGGAGTCACAATGCCAAAAATAAAACTTTATTTTTTCTAAAATTGTATCTGAAGCAAAATTTATGACTTAGCTATCAAAGAAAATGCTGATAAAACGAGTTTGACTTGAAATTTTGAAAGAAATACAAATAATGAAGTGAATTAACGATTTATTGCAAATTTATTTAGCTCTTTGTAAAAAGTCTCATGTGAGAAAAGTGAGAAAACGACAATGTTCTATTGGTTCACCGATCGCAATCAAAACTTTTTAATGTTCATCAGTTTCCTGATGACGTAATGGTTATTCAATATGTGATGGTATACGCAGCGCTTCGATTATTTCTCGCTTTGGCGAGCTATTATATTTTCTTCTATTACGAGACGCCGCATTTAATAGTTTGGCACCTAAGCGCCAAGTCAAACAACAATAAGTGTTTGTTTCTGCCAACTGGGCCAGCAGAGTGTTTCTGCACAGTATTATGAGCAGTCATCGGTTGCGCAATGTATATTCCGATTCTGGCGACACGTCGGTGCTCCTGGACAAATGGCTCTCAGCGCCGAAGTGAAATGCGTTCAATTTCATCTCTCTTTCTCTTATTCTCATATCGAGAGAGACGCCTCGTTTGGAATTTCCAGAGCGCACTCGAGAGAGCTCGGAATAATGAGAAAAGCATTAGTCACGCCGGCTGACATTACTCTCCATGAATGCACCTTATTTGCATCTACGCGTATCTGATTATTAGCCAAGATCGAGAGCTGTCGACCCCGATGTTTGGTCCAGATTTTAAATTTATGTCTCCAATTATCGTGCGAATAATTTGACTTCAAAGTTCTAGTTTCAAATCATGTCTATTTCTTGTATTTTTTTTAGCCAGTTAAAGAAAAACCAAGTACATTATTTGTTGAAGTTATCTTTACAACAGAAGATTTATAGTAGCAAAAATTTTGTGTAATCAGACCAAAAAGGCTAATTGCGATCAAATTGTACTTTTATCTTTCAAAAATTCTAATATTTTTTTCAGATTTAATTAATTTCAATTTTGCGCTTTTCAAGTTTCATTTTTATAGTGGTTTGAAGAATGAATACCTAAAATTTAAAGCAAGGTTGATTTCATTATCAATTATGTGTTTAAATAATAATAATAAATAAATAATAATAATAAGCACAAACTGCTTAAGAACACTAAATTATTCTGAATTGTATCAAATAAAAGATATAAACTATTTATTAAATAATCAAAACGAATTTGTCGTTCTCTTTAAAAAAATTTCCAAACATATTCTTGCTAATGATGAAATAAGATTACAGACCTTGACAGAAACCGGTAGGATACAAGATAAATAAAAAGAGAAAATTCAATGAAGACAAGCGAACAAGTCCCATTTATTCTAGTTTTTAAAAGAATAAAAACGATTTTGCTTCTCAACTATAATATTAAAATAACGAAGAAAGTTTCAGGATTCCTTTCAATTGATAATATTCATTCTTGAAAATTCCCACATAAATTCTTTATCTGTCAAGGATTTTACTAAATTTCTTTGGTTTGACAACGAAGGACAAGCAATAAATCCACTGCATGAAGAGAAGCGACCAAAAATTTAATTGCTTAACAGGAGACAAGGTGTTTTGATTAAGTCGCGTTTATAAACATCTCAAATCACGTCCCACCGCAGTCGTTAGCATTGATTGATATCCCTTTCTTCGGACAAGGTTTTCGGTAATCCCTACATGGCGGCACAGCAGACGCTTTTCCCTCACACGCGCATCATCGTTCGTTACGCCAGCGTAGAAAGAAAACGTGCGCCGAGTTCGGCAAAGGCTGATCGAAGAGGAGGATCACGCGCCTATACAACACAGTACAAAGAGGCACAAATACGTAAGCAGGCTGACAATACGCAATGGCATGTGACAACTTTCACTGCTATTTGTGCATCTCCTCTGAATACGAAATATATCAAACGCGGAGAAAGATACGCGAGGGCAAGGCGCCGCCGTTGAGCATCTCATCCACACACAATAGCCGCGCCGTCGCGACGCTGGAATTTTGTGAATAATTAGCATACGATTAAAATTTAGGAAAATGTAAATAAGAGTTTGCATCCGTCAACCAACGCAAACCGACTAAAAATTTAATTTGGCAGTATATTATGATAAGTTACGAGGAGAAAATAAATTAAATATCCAACCTTTTTTTGTAAAGCTTTAATAAATAAAAGATTTATATTTACAAATAGAAATAACAAGAGGCTATTGAATAATTTTCCTATAAGCTCAAATTTGGCCAGTCTTTTTTCATCAAATGTTTTAATTTTTTTTTTAACTAAACTATCTCTGGCAAAAGGTTGTGCTGCTTCGCCAAGACAACCACTTTGTCAATTGTTGGGCATGTGTACAGTGCCGGACAGTCTCTTCCTTCGCCGCCCTGATGATAAGCCACTCGCCACAAGTTGAATAGTTTGGGAAATGTGGGCTTTAAAGACTCGTGGACGTGATCTAAAATCCTGAAAGCACAGTTTTATAATTTAGCATATTAATTCAGTTTTTTTTGCAAATTATTGTTTCCCTTAATTTACAGATTTAAATTACATTTAATAATTTTTATGTGAATATTTAGCTCGATTAATACAAAAAAATTGCTGCCTCAAAAAATTAAAATAATAAAAAGTTTCTACTTTCGAGTGAAAATTCACATTTTTGTCTCCATTAAAATATATCTTGAATTACAAAAAATATTGAAAATTTACCATGCAACCTGGGTCTGGTATCCCCAGAAACCCATTTCGCAGGCGGCTCTTGGAAAGCACGGTCCTTTCGCTATCACCGACAGAGCCCTTTTCTGAATGCTTCGTCCCACGTTAAGATTATTGTTGTTCAAATTCTGATTTGGGAGTCTGCCCAAGTTGTTGTTGTTCGGATTTCTGTTCAGGTTGTTGTTGTTGTTAATGTTGCCGTTCACATTGTTTGGATTGTTATTCACATTATTTGGATTTTGATTGGCAAAGTTGTTGCCAAAACCTGTGTTTAAGTTGAACCCGTTGTTTGCAAAACCTAAAAATAATGAAAACGAATTTTATTACTTAAAAAAATGTTCAAAATTATTTTCTAACCATAAACAGGAACTGGAAATAGAAGGAGCAACGGGAGGAGAAGAGGTCCGATAAGAACGATAAAAGCAAACGCCTTGGTTAGAAACTTGAGCGCCAGCACTGGCAGCTTGACGGCGGCAATCTTTACCACCGTGAACAGGGCCTTTTTCAGGGAAATTAGCGGCCCTATAATGTTGCATTGGTCACCACCGCCCCCTCCATAAGCAGGGTAGGGGTTGACGAAGTCACCAGGGTAGGCGCCACCCTGAAAACCCGGTTGAAATCCGCCACCCTGGAATCCCTGCAACGCAAAAATATTTTAGCTCAAATTATATTTTTCAAATTTAAAAAAAAAAATACCACTTGATAATATTTGTCCAACCCTTCAGGGTCGTATACTGTTGGTGGAGGAGGAATGACGTTTATATTTGGTGGTCGTGGCCTGAAAAAGGGTTGAGAAACCGGGGGTGGTGGTCTCCATGCTCCCAAATTACCACCTCCAGCAATTGCACTGTCAATAATTAAAGGCCGTTTGTACCTGGAATTATAATTATTGTTTGTTTGTTTTTTTGCTACAAAATTAATCTCCGACTGTAGATTTTAGTTATTAAACTGAATGCATTAAAATAATTTGTTTAAGAAATTTTACTTTTTTTCTACCTATCTCAGAGGGTTGACTTTTTCATTTTGATATATTTTCTCTAATTATTTTGTTCAAATTTATTTACTTTTATTTATTATTTTAAATATATAATTGATTTTTATTTGCAAACAACAATTTATAAAATAAAATACAAAAGCGTATTAAAAAAACATAATTTAAAAAAAAATTAGTAACAATTGCGTAACAAGAAATTAAAAGATTTGTTTAATAGAATTGGAATTTTTTCTGCATTTATTTCTTTAGCTGATCTATGCAACATCTTGACACGGATGTCGAGCAGGTTGCAGCTATTAAAAGATTCCAAAGCTTATAACTAATTGTAGTTATAAGGTCTGTATATTTACTATTCTCTAATTCATTAAAATTAAGCTTATAAACATAAACTTTTATTTCGCTTTCAGCATTGAAATATTTAGTGCAGAGTACTTTTATTTATTGCACTGCATGTGAAATCCTCAAAAGATTTTACAATCACAAATAATAAAATTCATCTCATGATGGAATTAGAAAATTATTATAAAAAAATTAATTTTTTATTTGATTGAATTCGAATAAATATTTCAATTGCATTTCTTGTAACTATTCCTCTCCAGAATTTCCAGTAATTGAAACTTCTTCAAACTTAATGTTCAAGTCTTTTTTTAATAGTGAAAGGAAAGATGGGAAACTTAAACAATATTGAATGATAAGAAAAAGAAGATTGAAGTGTAAAATTTGCATAATATTTTATTATGAGTTTAAAAAAAATATAATTCTGAAAAAAATTACCCATTGTTGTTGAATAACCTGGTTCTATCAGGGTCGTCTCGGCCGGCAGTGGCCTGCTCCTCGAGGGTGGTGGTGCCATTGTAGACCTCCGGCGAAGGCTGGAAAACAGTCGACCTGATGCAATTCGCGGCGCCCAACAGCCACAGAAACCACACAAGCTGCCGTGGCATCGCCACTGAATAAAGTGCGCGCCCGCCCTCCGAGCAAAGGTCTTTTATAATTTAGCGCCTCGCGCACTTTCGCCATCCGCAGGGCACTCGAGGGTGAAACGGAGGCCACTTTTCGCACTCGCGCGAATCAAGGTCACACTTGTCAGCGGAGGCGGCAGGGGATGAAATTGGCTGCGGCTGATCCGATTCGTCACTTTTGACTTTGAAATCTTTGAATACGACCAGCAAGTAGTGAGAGCAGGAATGGATGAGTTATATAGTGTATTTAAAATAAAAAGAAATTAAGCACCAACCACTTATCATTTTTTTCAGGCCAACAGCCATTTTTTTTTTTACTTCAATTGAAATTTAAAACTTAGAAGCCAATTGCGACTTTTTCAACTTTTCGCGCAAGTAAATAATTTTTAGTTGCTTGCAATAATCTTAATTAAAAGCGATACATAGCTGAATTTTTTTCCTTTTTTTTTAAACAGTAATTTTTTAGACGTCAAACGACTCTCTACTTTACTTGCTCACACTTGTGCGCAATAATAGTTTCAGTTCCTTTATAATATGTGGCCAGACCAACTTTGAACAAATCAGAGAACTGTATTGTATTTTTACATGGGTCCCAATTTTGTGCAAATGTTACAGCAAAGAATCTTGATTATAACGAGATTGATATATTTTCAGTGATAAGCATGAAACTTAAATGTTTATCTATTAATAGGAACGTAGATTTCAAAGAGGACAATTTTTTTTAATAACAAAAAAAATTCTTTAAAGCCAAAAGTTTTTTATTTGAAGACCAATATTATTGAATTAATTTTTATTTTCTCTGTTTTAAAAATTGTATAAATTTTAAATCATCAAATTATTTTTTATTTAGGAATTCAAACTCGGATATTATTTCATTCAGTTTTCTAGTAGGGACATAATTATATGATTTTTAAATTTCTACCAATCTTTTGTTCCCGACTACTGATAATAATAAAAAATACAAATTTTATGATTGTATTTTTGTTGCAAATTGTCACTTTATTGAGCAACAGAGCAAACAAAAAATTTTAATTATGAAATCCAGCGAGCTCAAATTTAGATTTTCCATTTTATATATTTTGTGATAAATCCGAAGAAATAATATGTAATTATTAAATTAGAGGCTGACAAATTAGCAAAATGCTTCCTCTTTTAAATTTTCATTGAACTAGAATTATGAAAATATGTTTTCTTTAGATTTAGCTCCATCTGTAATGAGCATAGGCTCTGTTGGTTTCGCACTGCTTGTGCAGGTCAAGTTTTCTTTTTACAACTCTGCCAGTGTTGTTGGCCGCGTCCATGATTTCCCAGGCCAGTTTGTCGTGAAATCGAGCAGTTCTGTCTTTTTCCTTGCCCGCGTCGATGAGCCACTTGTAAGCCAGGACGGTGGCAATTTTATCAGCCACTGGCACAGGAACCTGTTTGTAAAAAAAATTAAATTTTAATATTTTTGATCTATACAATGGCTGACCTGGTATTTAACACCGCCTCTTTTGATGGGGGTCAGAATCATGATGGGTTTGGAATTTTGCACTGCTTCATGTAAAAGCTGATTGGGGTCCTTGATGACGAATTCGCTTCTCTTTTCCGTTGGTAACGAGTGAAACTTTTCGATTTGCGCCTTTTTAATCACTTCAAATGCCTTAATAAATTTATTTTGATGAACTTGTAAAATTTTTCAAACAAAAAACGTTTTTACCTTTTCTACAAGCTCTCTGGCCAACACCTTTTTGCCTTTTCTCATAATGTGGTTTATAAATTTCCTAGAAATAATCAAGAGATTTCGATTATTTTATTTGCTATAAAAAATTTAATATTTTACTTTGTCTGAGCATTGTAAAATTCCGAAGACGTTTGTTCCGAAAGTGGTGCTCGACAGGGTACGAGCACCCTTTCTTGGGCCTGGCCACTTTCGTAGGCGGCGTTTTGCTCCTCGGTTCTGTACATCGGTTCGACGAAGTACTTTGGGTACTGAGACATTTTCGCACTGCAAATTGATAAACATGTGTTACGACGATCAAAACAAAAGTTATGAATCGGAAATTAATACATATATTCATAGTGGATTGGATAAGCCTAGGAAACTTTTTTAAAGGCTAAGAATTGAAAGAAAAATAAATATTTAAGTACCTGCTGATGATTTGAACATTTTTCTGCAGGAGGAACCCGAGTTTTGTGTCAACAATCGACAAAATTGAGCTGCTTATTTTGACCAGAGCCGCCATGGTTCCTCTTTTGGCCGACTTCACATCTGATTCCAGAGAGCGCACGCTGTGCACTCGTTTGTGGCAGTCGAGGAGGAGGGGAGGGGCTGAGAGTCCAAACGAACGCCCCAGAGTGCGAGACAGCAGTGCAGGAACTGCAGGATGCAGATTGTACACGGAAAGCTTAATTAGTTAAAATTAATAATTTTGTATATTGGTTTAATCTATGAATTTTCAAAAAAGCTGCACAATGATATCGTTTCCCTTGTTATAATTTTAGCCATTTAGTTTATTAAAATTTGTCTGCATTGTTCAGTGTATTATAAAATTCAGGAAATTATATATGTTAGTAATTTAAAATTAGCATAAAAAAGTCAATTTTAAAGATTTTTTATTTTCGAATTTAATGTTAAATTTTTTTTTCATACATTTTATTGTTTCACAAAAAAAAAATATAATGAATTTAACATTTTTTCCACTCTTAATTCCATCCGGCTCAAAAGACAAAAATTCGCATGACGCAAAAAATTCCTGTTTTTCTAATTGGAAAATTGTGAAATTATGAATTCCAAACGAGAAATAAAATCGTATGATTTGAACCAGTTTGAACTACGAATCTTGTATAGCACTCTAGATGTAGATAGCAAACTTAATTATCTCAACAAATCAAATGAACCATAGTTCAGGTTTCTTGATGCAACACTCTCTTTGGAGGATGTGAAGAAGTTAGAACATTTGCAACTAAAATTCAATTATTCATCTCGAGAGGAAGAGGAAGAAATTCAAATTTACTTGCATGTTCATTACCTTCTTCTATATTACACCCTGAAACACGATCTATTGCTCATATTATTTATAATGAAGTTAATTCAGAGCCGTTCTTCGAAATTTGGAACTTCAGTTCCTTAACGTTATTAAGGCAAAATTTTTTTTACAGTTTCAAGTTTATAGTTGCGCATTCTCCACAATCCTACCAAGCCTAATAAAAACGAAAAATGATTTCTGATAGATTGAAATGTATGAAATTCTTGCTCTTTTTAACATTTAATTGATTTAATTCAAACTAGATTATTTCTAAGACGTTTTTATTTTTCCTGTTTATAAGTGCAAATTTTAATTAGTTTTTTAAAGTTTTTATTAAAAGCCTGAATTAACGGTAATTTAAACATTTCAGCAGCTGGCGCGAAATAAATATATATTTTTTTCCTCAATGCTACGAGGCCTTTTAATAAAACACAAGAACGCCCCCGTTTGTTTGACAATATAATGAATGCACGCGCAGCCCCTGGCCCGGCCTTTGTCATCTGGGTTTATTAAAGCTGCGAGATGAAAAGCATGTCGCCCATTTGATTGCCAACACCTAAAAATAGTATTTGCCCAGCAGAGACTCTTCCTTGATCAGAACTCCCACCTGTTGAGCAAAATGGAATATTCGCGCTGATCAAAAAGAAAGGAAAGGATTGATTTTCTTCGATTTTTCATTCGACATAAATGCGCGCTGATGGTTAATTAGTTTATGAAGAAACAAACGACTGCAATCTGCTGCTGATGAGCGACCGTTTGATCAGCAATCAGCATTTGATTGGATGAGTTTGCAAATCCAATTGCAAACTCATGACTGCAATTACATGTGAACACGCATGTGATTATGAACAGAGAACATTGTTAATTGCCAGTCAACTGAAAGGGAATCAGAAATGATGTGCTTGTCAGGGCGCAAATTAATGTGTCACTTGTGAAGTCACGTGTTCTGCGAGTTCATCCAGTTTGATCCGTTTAAAATTTTTCAATGAGTGAATCTTCCCAGCACAGTGAACAGATTTATAAGCTCACAAAAATATGCATATTTTTTACTTCAATTTTAAAATTGCAAATAAAGATTTGATGGTACAAAACAAAAAATTGAAATCACAACTATGGAATTTAAATTTATAAAAAGTTACCAAAGCTGTACAGATGAATTTGAAAATAAAAAATTAGTAATTTTTGGGCTTTTATTCTCGATCGTGGATTTTTCGTTTTAAAATTTAATGGATTAATTCATAATACAAAACACTTCAATTAATTTTTAATAACTAGCAGAATATTTATATAAATTAAATTTCTTGAAAAATCAATTACTCTCATTTTTTTTTAAATTTACGAAATATTTTAATACTGACATTGCATAGATGTAAAAGTAATTAAAATCATTCCATTCAAATTCACTTTTCATATCCTCTTCAGAATTTGTCCATTTTCACTAGGCAATTTACGACCGTTTTGAAGACTTTTTTATACCATTTTCCTGTTCTTTAGGAGCACCCTCAGGCCAGCTCTAGGCTATTTTAGTGCATGCAGTGGGCATAAAGATTTTACTCTCGTCGACACGTCTCGCAGTTTTCTGGTTCGCAGTAAGCAAGGGCGGTGTCTGCTGCGGTGACACAGTTTCAATTAGAGCCGAACAGCGGTAATATTGTCTTTCGAGGGCGGATTAGATAAGGCCAACATGTCATCCCTTTCGAGTGGCTCTTGACCGTGGATGTGTGTGGTGTGTGTGGGCCCTGCATGATACCAATGTGCATCGAGCGCTGACGCTCAACACCAACAAGCGACCGCCGCCGACATACCATCTGTCTCGGCTGCGCCAGAACGGGCTCCCGAATCAATTGATATGCGCCCTTTCCGGGTTTGCAGGGAAAAATTAGACTGTTAAGTTTATCTTGCATTTTATTGCACATTTTGTATAAAAAATAGTTTTTTTACTGTTTCGAAGATAATCTGTTAAAAACTTTCCTCGACTGGCTTCAATTTTGTCAATAGAAAAATGAAAGTCGTCAAATATGTGGTTGCAAAATACCTGAATAATTATATTATTCAATATCCTCAAACTTTAGAATCTTGTCTTGTCAAGCTAAAAGAATGTGAGCAACTGAGCACCCAGAGCACCGTATAAGAAAATTTCAAAAATAATTGTATTTTTTTTAAATAGTTAACAACAAGAAATGAACGATTTTACCTTATACAATAAATATGTTTGGAGCGAACGTTAATTGATCAACAAGCCAAACTTTCTTTCACATTTAAACATCTCCTCTCCATTTTTCCGCCTCGTCTCCCAAAAAAAATGCTTCAATTGAAAACTTCAGCAAATGATAATTATCTTGGTTTAACAAGGAGAACGATGGGGTGTTTGTTTTCGTCAGTTCATGCAGAATTTTTAAGTGCCTCTGTGTGAAAAAGAGGTTTTATTAATTTTAAGAGAGCTGTTCAAAATTGAATAAGTTTCAAAGGAAAATTATTCAAAATTATAGGGTCCTCAACGAAAGGAGAGACGGAAAACGATTTCCTTGAAGTTTGAAACCTCAAAGTTGTATCTTACATGTTACCATGACCTTGGCTGGACTTGTGGAGTTTGACAGTTAAAAAATTTTGGTACTTTGGTGAAGCTACCGATCAATAATTTGCCGATTTCACAAGTTTCTCTGCATTATATTATCATGTCTTCAAATATAAATAATATCTTTTTTAATACAAATTTGATTTTATTATTTTTTATCTGCCAAAAAGTTTCTTCATTTTAAAAAAATGTCACGTTTTTCTGTTGTCCTGGATAACTTTTTCAAAATTTAGATTTTTCATAATTAATTTTTCTTTTTAAATACTTTTTTTTAATTCAATTGGTTTTAAAATTACTGTCAATAAGTTAATTAATATCACCTTTTGTAATTTCCAAAGAAATAAACAATTAAATTCTAGAATGTTGAACGGAATTGTAAGAGCCCGAACAACAGGTATCAGTCATTTGTGCACAGCGGTGAATATTAACCGAGAGAGTTGCTGGCGGGGCAAAACTTTTCGCACAGTAATTATCTCAATCAAGAAGTGTCTCGTCGTGTCGAAGCAATCCGTTGTGTGTGCCCAAGTTTAATGAAACGGAAACGAGTCGCGGGCAGAACCGCATTCGTCGTCGCACTCGTTGATTATCATCGTTATTATTGCAGGGCATTGGAGCGAGCGGGGGTGGTTCGGACGGACGCGGAAGGTTTGCGCGCACCTCGCGCCCGAGGTGCACCGCGCCGCGAAGGTAGGGTATAAAAGGTAGGGGTGCCGCGGCAATCAGCGTCACACAGATCCAACTCGTCCTCGGCTCGCCACCATGAAGGCTGGCTTCAACGCTGCAGTGGTCGTTCCTCTGGCGCTCATCCTCGCCGCGGCCGCCACCGCCAAACCAACACCCACGGTAAATTAACCATATCAATTAACATAAAATTCAACCCTATTATTTTTATTTCAAACATGATAATATACATATACACTTTCTTTGAGGTTTTGTTCTACAAAATTTTTAAACATTCCTAAAAATTATTATTTTAATTTCTTTATTAACCATTTGAATATTACAATTAAAGCTAAGCTCATAAAATAAAATTTTGGGGATTGATTTTAAAACCTCTGAAAACAATTTTATTCTGTTTATTTATTTTTTGTAATTTTATTATGTCAAGCAAATAAAAGTCCCAAAATTTGACATGCAACTTTTGATTAATTAAATTTAATTAATGTCACCCATAAAAAATATGTTCATTCTGCATGTTTGCAAAATTTATTGATTTTTGTTAATACCCTTTTTGATTTTTTTTTTAACAAGTTCATAATTTCTGACCAATATTGATTTATAAAAAAAAACTTTTTGGTGCAATAAAACCTTCAATGCCAGAGTTGATTGTAATTAGATTAAAAACATAAATTAGCTACATACAAGTATTTTTAAATTCTATATTCATTCCCTGGAAAGAAAAATTTTGATTTTTCTAAATCCTATCTACTTAAAAACTAACTTATTTAAAATTTATCCAAAGTTTTATTCAACTTTCAATATTATTTACGTCATTTCAAAATGTTTCGATGAATTTTTCGACATTGAGGCCTCGAATTATTATTTTTTTTTGTAACCATGTAAATTTGACCCTTAAAATACTGCCAACTTCTTTGATCCCTGAGCGCCTTTTACAGCAGGCGACGCAACCCGCACGACAGTCGAGTCGGACTCGCTGCCTAACAACCTTCGCTCGAGAACCTCCACTCGAGATTTTCCTCGCACTCATTGCGTAAAAGGGCTCATTTCCTGCCACTTCGGCCAAATGCGCAAATCCGCGCTTGCAGCTTATTCCATTACCACACACGAGACTCGCAAATCTCTGATCCGATTTCGCTATTTTTAAACTTTCCGCCGGCGCCTTATTGCATTTCACAATGATTAAATTTTCACTTCACTAGAAACTGGAGGGCTTCCACTTCGTTAAAAGTTTTTATAATTCATTGGCCGAGCAAGCCAATGGACTGACTGACTGACTAATTGCCTCCGACAGACGCAAGAGCGGTTTCCCTTCCAACCGACCCTACACTAATTAGGGTGCTTGTATTGCTGCGACCCCTTGGTCGGGAAGATTTATTCGTACCAGATTCAGCGATGTAAGTTACTTTCACATTACGTCCAGAAAAAAGGCTAATCGGATTATGTAAATGAAGCAACATTGAAAATAAATTTTTTATCAGCATTTTACAAAGCAACACACAAAGCGATGAGGAAATTAAGTTTATTTCCTGAAGCCGAAACCGGGCCGAAACGAACAAAATTTTAAATTATCTCTGTTTGAAATTCCAATTTGTTTTCTAATTTGAAAATAACTGCCACTTTACTCCGAAGCGAAAACCACCACTCTCAAATAATGAAGCGCGGATGCTCTTTGTTTCACTCCTTTGTTGCATATCGCGCTCCACTTGTTGAATGGCTGCTTATGCTTTGTATTAGGCGAAATTAATTATACCACGCGCGGCATTATATAGAAAGCACTGCTATTCTGTTTACGTCTCTCCGAACATATCCCACCGCGTGAATAGCTGCGGTACAAGAGGGATGAGCTCACAGGTCGAGTTGCGGTGAACATATAAGCACCACTCTGAGTGAGCCGTAAATTAGCGTTTGGTAATTATTCAGTAGCATGATGTATAACATCATAGCATGAACATGCCTAATGCAGCAAAAGCAACATTGGCAGCAATGGATCGATGCTTCATTTCCGAAATGGATTTGAATTTGTGATGAGTACTATTAATATTTTTTAGCAAATTTCCCCACAAATTACATAAAGGGCTATGAAACATTAAAATTAAATATAAATAATAAGGGATGATTGGGGATGATGGAACTTCATATAACTTTAAGTAAATTACAATTGAAAAATATTTGTAAACCAAAACTTTTGTCAATTTTTTCAATTATAATTTTTTTTTAAATAATTTTTAATTGTTATGTAACCGATCAGCACAGGATCTCAACAATAGTATTTTGAATTTTTCATTCAATTGACGGAACACAAAATTAAAATTAAGTTACTCCAAGCTAAAGTCACATTCGTGGCACTGAATCTGATTAACCTGTACAGAAATCGAGTTGTAGGCTGAAAAGCAATTAGGCCGTCTCCATCCGAGTGATAGAATTAATTTCCAGGTAAAAGGGACGCTCTCCATCTCTCTCATTTCGTCGTCATTTATATATGAGGTGCGTTCACCACTACGCACAAATGTATAGTTTGAGCGGATCGACCTCGGAGCATCTCTTTTATCCGCTCTGCTCGCAATTACCGCCAAACGTGAAAAGCACACGTCGGCCGTTGCTAAAGAGAGAGGATAAAACCTTTGCCCCGTCCGTGTTTGTGCAGGTGGTCGAATATGTGCTTTGCAGTTCCTTTCCGCCGCGCGCTATCCATGCGTTCAGCCGAGGCGCCCTGTGACCAGCCACCCGTGTCCTGCGCTAGCTCGTCCAAATAAGCACCGCACAAATCACTTTAGACACACATATGCTCACCGATCAGATTATCCTTGATAACACTAAAGAGAATCCGTGCTCCTCCAATACACAAAAGAACTGAAGCGCTAAAATTAAAAATTGTGAAACAAAATTTTTGCTCTTATTGTTAGGCACAGTGGAAAAAAATAATAACTCATATTTTGCCTTTTCGTGTGGCTAATTTTGGTGGAGAAATTTCTAAATAAAATATTGATCTAATTTCTCTATTAAATAAAAATAAAAATTTTAAAATTTAATTTTAAAGCTTCCATATATCAGTCTTCAACAACTGGCGCGGGTTCCTTCTATTAAACTTACCCTTACATCTATTTTATAGAGTACAGAAAACATAAAGTTCAGAATAGTATATCTTTTACAAAAAGTTTAACTTTTATAAAGTTCTCAGGAAAATTAAATGGATAAAGTTTGCAGGAAATTTCCAAAATCCATTTAATTCTTATTAAGGGAGAATTTCCACTCGTAATATTTATGCTTTCCTTGTTTAACAATAAACTTCAATAATCTCCACCTTTCCAAGGAAGTTTGTTTCACTTATTCAGAATTAAAACTTTAGCTCCGTCTTTGTCAGCTATGGCATTCAAAAGAGTCTTAATTCCCTTTATTCCTTTCCTCTTACCAAGGCGAAACTCTCCGTTCTCTGAGTGTTTCACTTAAAGTGCTAAATATTTATGCAATTTTATCTGCGCAGATGCTAATTAAGGCGATTGTTGCAGGATGACACTCTGCCAGCAGATCTTGAGCTGCAAAGGCACGGCAGCCCCTTGGCGCAATTAGGTGAGTTGCTGTCAAGCTGTCAGAACAGCTCACTCTATGCTGACTGTCAGGTTATCAGACAATAAATGAAGCTCGCAATCTGATTAACTTTGAGTTAACCCAATTTTTATCTGCTTCAAATAATCTAAATTTTAAAATCAGCTCTGCAACAAAAGAGTAAAACGCGGAAGATTTCCATTCTTTGTTGTAATTATTAATATTTTTTTTTTTATCTCCAACAGCTTTGGTTTTTTGGACACATTTGTTTGTTTTTCATCTGCATTTTTTTTTTTTCATTAACAGCGGAGCGTACAATAAGGGATGAGAGCAATTTATTTTTTGCGAACTTTATTTAAAAGAGCGAAAAAATTAATCCGTTGCAGCATTTTCTCTTGTTTGCAAACAGTGTTTGTTCGTTAATTCTGCACGACGTGAGGTGATTCTGCTCTGGGCCATTTGTTTTTGCGCGTTATTGTGCTTTTCCTCGTGAGCGTCAACATATGTATCCACACAGTTCATAAAAATACACGGCTGCTCAGGAAAACTAAAAGACAAAGTGTTGTTTAATGAAAGCTTATACGTATACAACGTACGCGCACTCTGAATCAACATTGAGCTTGTGTCTGTCTCGTCCTTTATATGCTACCTTACACAAGGTTGGTATATTATTTGTCATCTGTCTTACTAATTCTTTGCAGAATTCTAATCTTACATTTAGAGTGTGTATTTTGTATTTTAATTTAATTGGTGTATTAAACCTGTATAATTTTCACTTCAATTCATTCAAGAATGTTTAGTAAGTTTTTCCATAAAATTGCCATAAATAAAAAAATTAATTTTTCATATAAAATAAATCAATTTGAATTTTGTTAGTTAAAATTATTATTATTTATTCTTCTATATTATATTTTTAATAGTTTCAATTACAAATCATTATATGAAAAACGAAAAACTTTGAATCAGTTTAGAAATTATTAAAATCGAAAATTTAATTATCATATAAATAATTATATCTTTTATTACAAAAATTATCAATTTAATTTAACTTAATTTTTCAAGTACATAATATTTAAATTTATATAAAAAATAATTTTTCACCTTCGCAGCTAACCGACCATGGCAATTTGCTTTGAGAGGCAGAGCCGACTATGGTGGTGCCATGGACTACAACGAGGACGCCGGTGACCTGGAAGGCCTCTTCGTAGCCATGGAGGAACCTGACCGCGGACAAGTACTCGGGATGAGCAATCTCCAGCGGCACAGGGGCCGAAGTCTCGGAGGACTTGGTGGAGGTCAGCTCGTCCGCAGCTTAGGAGGACTTGGAGGTGGCCAACTGGTGCGCAGCTTGGGAGGTTTGGGTGGCGGTCAGTTGATCCGAAGGGGTCTTGGAGGTCTCGGTGGCGGCCAATTACTGCGATCTTTCAACGCAGAAGATTAAGAAAAAAATGTAGATATAACACTAAAATTCTGACTGAATAAATGCAGACACCATCAGGAACTTAGTGTGTGTTTTTTTCCCCCCTTTTTACTCCTATTTCAAAAAGAGGTTGACATAAATTTAAAAGAGTAAGAAATTTTTTGTACCTTTTAATTAAACGGTTTTTCCTATTTCAAGCATCACCTCGACAACTTGTTCTACGAGACACCTTTTTACAAGTGCGGCCCAGACCCATCAGGGCGTTCGATACTTTGACCGGGGCGTCATTTGGAACTAATAAGAGAGGTGCCGGATTTGATTCAATCAAGTAAGTTTTGATTATTAAATTTCCAAAATTAAAATAATATATATTATTTTATACAGTATTATGAAGTTTAATTTGTTTGCGCTATAAAATAAAACTTTAGTCTGCAACTAACCCATCTTATTTTCCAGTGGCGTTTCTTTCGGAGGCCAGAAGCGCAACTTTGACGAGATCGACAGGTCTGCCTTTGACGGTTTCTACAATTACTACAAGAGAAATTTTGACGAGATAGACAGGACAGCATTCAATGGCTTCTACAAGCGGAACTTTGATGAGATCGATCGGGATGGATTTGATGGGTTCTACAAACGCAGAGATCCCTCAGCTAATTAAATTCCACCTTCTTTAAACGAAGTGTCTCTCACACTGAAGTGCATCCTCCATTCTCACACAACTATCCATATCATACCAAGAGGAACTTTCTCATTCTTTTCGAAACTGTACCTTCATTTTTTTTCTTTTAGGCAGGCTGGATTTGTAATTAGCTAATAAAGAATTAACCGAAGCTACAAGACTCCCATTTCAATGTATTTGATGTGATTGATTCATGTTCGTAGAAATAAGCGAGTCTATTTCTAATTGTAATTGGCCTCCTGTCCGACAAAAAAAGTACAAGTAGGTGTGCTCAAAAAAATCTACCGATTTTACTTTTCACAAACACTACCAAAAAATGTAAAATGCCAAGAATAGAGCATTTTTAGGCAAGCAATAAAAGCAATGTAGTCTTTAAGTCGGAAAATTATTTAATAAATTCACCATTAAACTTACAAGAAAACCTTAACATGCACATAAAATTAGGTGTGAGAACTAAAATGCCATTGACGAGAATTCTAAGAGCTACGGATTCCAAGAGCCTGTTCCAGTTCGGCCCTCTTTTGCTGCACTTTGGTGTAGAAATAGCGGCAAACAGCCTCTTGTGCCCAAGGCTGGTAGTAAAACTCTGACCGTCGTTCTTCCTCGGGATTTCCGACTACATCCGTCATGGTCTGTAACAATTCATAATTAATTAAAATTAACAAGTACTGCAAAACTAAAACAAAAATACCTTAATATCTCTGGTTTGGGAAATGATCCACTTGTGAATAAACTGTTGCGGGTCCTTGGCAAAACTGAGGAAAAACTCTCGATTGGTCTTCAGCTGGTTGATTGTCTCAACGGTCTCATGGATTTTGTTATCCAGACTCTAAAATAAAAATAATACATAAGTTCAATAACTAGAGAAGTTAATTTAAGCTAATAATATTGTGGAAAACAAATTTATTTAAACAAACCTGAATTTCCTGCTGACTTGCGGTGGAGAGCAGGAAGTTGTTCATCTGCGTCTTGAGAGTGTCGTCTACCTCGACATCTATGTCATAACAGGCAGTCTGTTTCTGCTCCACACCTTCCACGCTGATGGTGTGGTTGATGACAATCGGATCAGGAGGGTGCAAAAGAGGGTTGAGACGCTGCGGAATCTCGGCAAACTTCATCCTCTGGCAGGCGAAGATCTGCTCAAGGTACTTGTCACAATTGATAAATTCCCGTTCATGCGAGTCCTGCAGCTTGTGCGTCTTAATGTACTGCCACAGGGCGCTTATGATGACCGGACGTGTCTGAGTGTGGACGCCCAGCAGTCGGGCCAAACGAGGGTCCAGCTTGAACTGGAGCGGCTGGTAGTCGAGCAGCAGCAGGATGGTGCATGAGACGTTTTTGTCTCCAGGCCGCTTCACCTGGAAGCCGTCCGTTTCTTGAGTGGTTGGTGTCCGGTGCCACTCCACAAGATGATTGTCCGGGCCGTACAAGTTTTTGTCCAGCTCTATCACCAGACTTTTGAAGAATGACGAAAATTTTCTTTTGACCTGGAAAACGAGATTCACAGAATTAAAACTTCCATTTCTGTTTACTCAAATACTCAGGCAAGTATAAAATAAAAACATAAATTAACCTTATTCGGATCATTTTTGTTGTCGTCTAAAAGACGTCCCTCGACTCTCAATTCCCACGAGGCCACTGTGCCTTCTTCAGTCTCCCCAGGCTCTTTGGCTGGATAGAAAGTGTTTGAGATAAATATCCGCAGCTTCTTCTTCTGCTTCATCGGTCTTTTGAGCGCCTCCTGAATGTCCAGACGCTTCCGCATGATGGTGGCATCCAACTTCCGTTCAAAAGCCAACAAATCCATGTAGGCCTGCGACTCAGGGACGAGGTCACGCACTTTCTGAGGCAAGATTTTGTCTGCCAGCTTCTTCTTCTTCTTGCTAGAATGTTCAAAGAATATTTATAATGGAAACTTTTAGTAACTATACTCCACCCACTTTTTTGGCGGCTGAGGCATCATGACCCTTGAGTCGACCGGTCTTTTGACACTTCCGGGCGCAGGCGGCATTCCTGGCCTCATACCAACGTAAGGCTGCATCGGGGGCCGTTGCATCAATACAGGGCCGCTGGGCGATCCAACCATCGGACCTCCGAAATTACTCGGTGGACGCTGTTGCATTGGCTGAATTTTCTCGTAAGGCCAATTGTTTAATAATGTTTATTAAATACACTTACATTAAAATTAGGGCCGCTGTACTGCCGCATTGAGCCCGGGGGCGGCGCAAATCTCTGCGGAGGGCCTCCGGGGACGGGGGCAGGCCCCGACGGAAAGCGCTGAGCCATTATCGTTAGTTTTGCGGCTCTATCAGAGGCCGAAAGAGGGGTCCCTTCAATGTTTGAGGATCTATTTCCACTCCTGAGTTACTCTCTTCAATCGAACTAGGTCGGTGGAGGCTGAAACGTAGAAAAATAAATCAAAAATTCAGAATAATAAAAGTTTGTTTTGCTTACATGTTTGATGCCGGATCAGATGCCGCAAAACAAAGATGGCTGCCGCTTTTGTGGAGGGGTAAACGCCAGCGAAACGAGGTTCACGGTACTGTAACACTATGTAGTGGTGGGGGAAAGAAGTGGGGGTTTGGGAAATGTTTGCACTTTACGCAAACGTGCATAGTGGTGACACCTGAACGTCACAAAATTGCGTGTATATACAATAAACACACTATGTATTTGTAAAAGTTAAATGTATGAATTATGTTTGGTTTTTTTTTTAACTTTAATCATTAATAATTTCTGCTTCCTAAAAAAGAAAATTTTGTTTTCTTTATTTTGTAATAATTATTATTTTGATTGTGAATGATGAATGAACAATAAAACAACAACAAAAATTAAAAAAAAGCAAATCTTTAAAGAAGTTGATAGCACAAAAATGATAAAAATAATTGTATTTAATATTAAGTTGATCCAAAGTTGATCAAACTTAATAAAATTTTAACATTAATTTACCTGCCAAAAAAATGTTTCCGTGTTTTTTGGCTTTTTAATTAAATATCTTTTAGATTATCAATTTTTATTAATATTCACAAGTCGATCCAGCGTTCTCGTTCCTCATTGCCAGGTTTCCATGACTACGGGGTGGCGACGTGACGCCCGTAACTTCTTTAGTCTTTTTATACCATTTGTCACTTGGTTAACAAAGAATTGGTCCCTGCGGCACCGCCTCTGCGACTGACGAATCCTACCAATATACGATCGCGACCAAATTTCTTCACACCGCGATCGCATGGCCGCTTTCGCCGGCAACAAAAGTGTTGGGCTGGGCCAGTCTCACATTATCCAAAGCGCGGTGGGTGGATTCGCACCACGCGAGCTGTTGTTGCGAAAAGGTGTTTGTGTTGCCATATTATCGATCCTTTGCGTTGTGCATTTAATTAAGTCGAGGCCTATTAATGGAAGGCTGCGATTTCAATAGGATATTATAATTAAAGTGGATAATTTTATAGATGGTTGGGCTACCTCCTATCTCTGTTGATCCAAACACAAATAAAACTGGTAGCTTGTTTAACTTCGTTTAATTAAAATGATTTAAATTACAGGGGCTATAATTATATTTTTAGAGGTTCTTAAGTTGTTGTGGAACTTTTTGTACATACTCAAATTGTCCATTTTTTTTATGGAATAAAATTTCATAATTTATTTCCAATTTTCTTAACATTTTTCCTCGTATTATTTTTATTTAGTATTTGTACGGAATTAACATAACGAGCTAAATTTCAATAGTTAAAATATTTCTGTAAAAAGAAAAAAAATACAGATATTTTTAAACTCATTCTTTAACTGATACGAGTTATATTTGTACTAAAATTTTAGGTGGTTTGATTTTTATTTTATTTTTTTTTTAATAAGCGCAGGAAACTAAAAATAAAAAAGTACTGTTTTATCCCCGTAAGGACTCCTTATTGACATAGTCAAATCAAGTGTTTACAACAAAATCGTGATTAAAATTTCCAATTGTCTTCCAACAATCGCAAAAATCTTTTTATATTGTTGTAAGGACTCGATTTGGCTATGTCAATAAGAAATCCATAAGTTCAAATTTCTGTGGTGTTTTGCATATTTTCAAATAATGGCAAATATTCACATTTAAAACTTTTTCTGTCGGAAAAGATAGAACTGGTAAAGTTTTATTTCTATTATTTGAAAGAGTAAATAGGCCAGAATACAAATAATTGTAAGAAGGAGCAAGAATGAGGAAAAAATAAACCCCTTATCAAAGATCGAAATTTCCAAGTCTGTGTTTTTATATACTTGGCTTGAAGAATTAATTACAAAAATATTAAAAATTAAAATTTATCACGCATTTTCATGGCAATACACAGAACTACATCGTCTCGTACCAGTTAAATACTAGTTTAATTAAGAATTAAAACTTGTTTTGGTACTAAAATAGCAAGAAATGTTTCGTGCATTATGATTGATATTACATGGCGAGCGCGCAAAATAGTGAGCGGGTTTTGTGCCGAAGCTACTCTTGCGATTGATTTATTACATTATTGGCGGCGTTAGGCCGAACTCGCGCACACGGCACTGACCACAACGCACACACACACACACACCCTTTTATGTGAAGAGGTCGTCGACCCTGTCGTCACAAAATATTGACCCAGTGGCGAAGCAGCGCCTACCGCACCTCTCTTTGCGCGCACGTCTAATTTTCATTGCCTGCCGCAATTTCGAAAAACGAGCCAATTTCCACCGAGATGACGATCCACTGTCCAAATAAAAGCTCATCGCTGCACACGAAATCATCTCCGGCCGCCCGGACGAGACGCGCGTGCAAGTTGTTATTTCCCAGCAGCCCCCAGAGACTCCTTAGTCGCCCAAACGCCGGCGGTGCTGGCGGGAAATTGGCGTGAGGAAGAATTGGGCTTCGCCACGCAATGACGTCACCTAACCCTTTCTACTTTTATCGGCTATTGCTGGCTTTCATTATTTTTATTTTCATTTTCCGTTCCATAAATGAGAACAAAAGACAGACGAAAAGCAAAAATTTACCAACTTTTATTAATTTTCTCCTTGATAATATTTTTTACATTATTTTTACTTTTTGCCCTATAATATTGACAAAAAGTTTTTAAATCAAAAGTTATGAAAATATTATTTTGCTTAATTGTTAATGTGAGATTTCACTATTGCTGCTGTTAAAATGGGCCGTATATATTTTGATTAAAGCATCAAAGAAATTTCGTTTCATACAGTGGTAAAGCTAAAAAAGAATGAAGACCTTCATCCAAAATAAAGTAAAAAATTACTTTCAAATCATTTCAAATGTTAAAAACTCGTGACATTGAGTGAATTTTTAAATTTTTGCATAAATAAAAGCTTTAATAATTATTTTAATTTTACATTTTCATTAAGAGAAGTTTTTCATTTTGAAATAAAATATTAGACGTAGTTAAGTGTGGTGGATACACGAGGGAATGTTGCTTCACACAAAGTCAACTGTGAGCAAGCGGGTGGCTAGTTGGTTATGCAACTTGCTCAGCTCAGTTCCTCGGCCGGTTGCATAGTTATTGTGTTCGCAGGCGCTGCGACTGCCAGTTTGCCAATGTTTTGTTTACTTTCAAGGTTTCGCGCGCACCCTTTACCAGTTCATTGAATACAACATGTAAAAAAAACCGCGCATGTTAATGATCTCTTTCAGCAAATTTTGCACAACTTTTAATTTTGGAAAAAAATATTTTCTAATTATATTAAACATGTTTTTGCTAAATCATTGATGATAATTGGAACTGATAAAAAATTCTATACGTATAATTATATAAACTTTCTCTTAATTTTATCATTACATTAAAAAAAAATATTTCTTCCTATATAAAAAAATTTATTCTTCAATATTAAATTTTAAAAAACCTACTCCACGCCTTGAAATTGAAATGATAAGTTGTGCTTTTTAACAAACATGGAAAAATTTATATTAATGACGTTTATCTCTGTCAGAAATTTCCCTCATTTTCAGTACTAAATTTTGGTCTTTACAGCTCATGTTAACAAATAATCTGATTACGTAGAGATTTGTCGACCCTTTGAAAATGACGCCGAGCTAAAAATATGGCCGCCGCGATTTATAATCGAGGAATTAACATGGCGAGCGTGTTGTGTGTGTGTGTGTTGTCGCGAGAGAGCCGCGCGCCGCGTGTGTCATTGATCTTGCAGCATTGGCGCGGCCTTGGAAGTTGCTTGACCCGCAGTAGATCAATGTTGTCGTGCTCTCCCCATTTTTCGCCGGCTTTCGTGCACACCCGCCCGGCCAAGACCCTCGCCGGTCTGCACGTGACCCCGTGACCTACTTCTGCAGCTCGCCAATGTGCATTTTGGGCCTTGGTCGGTGCCACTGCACGGGACCTCCAATGCTTCAAGGAGAGGTCGAACCAACCTCCCGTCTCGCGTCGCCGCCCCCCGCAGACTGCTTTGTGTTTAATCGACCTTTGGGAAAAGTAAAGAAACCGAGAAAGAGACACTGTAGCTTCAATAAAATTTATAAAAGCAAATTATTTAAGCAGAGGAAAAAGTCATTTAATTAAATATTAGCTAATTGTGGACATACAAATTGATTGGTGAGACGCGAGACTATAATATTTTTCCCTAATTTTAAGGACAACGATTTTAATAAATATGTACTGGAAAATAAATTGCATCAACTTCAAACTTCAAAGTATGTTAATGTGATGGTTAAAATACAAATATTGTACAATTTTGTTAAGATGACGGATTCTTGTTTTTTGAAGTAATATTTTAACTGGAAAAGCAGCTTGGCTTTAATTAAAAAATATTTTTTAAATTTATTCAAAGGTAGTCAAATTTTTATATTCACAGCTTTGGAGCTAAATATTAAAAAAAAAAATGAAAATCAAGTACTTTATAAAATTAATATAAACTTTAAACTTACGTGAATCATAAAATATCCCATAATTAATATTATCCCTGTGTTCAAAATCATCATAACGCTGAGGAATTTTTTCCCGATTATAACCTAATTTTTCATTGAAGAGGCAAAAGACAGAAAACAGATAAAAATCATTATTAAAATTTAAAAAATAGTTTATAATTTGTATTAATTTCTCGAGATGAAACTATATTTTAATAACTTCGGCTTTTTCAACTCTATATAATGTTACATAGGAGGTACTAATTCATGATTTAAGCAATATAATTTTTTTCGTCAACGATATTATGTTCTAATGAAAAATAAGTAGTAAGAAGAAGATGGGTGCAAAATGAAACTTGTTTAATAATTGGTTTTGTCTTCCTCAAACATATCTGGCCAAATTGTTGCCCATAAAGTACCACAAAGAAAGCAATTTATGTCAAATTAAGTACATTAATTTATAAAAGTTTTTGTTTCTTTGTGTACTGTGTTGCCATGTTCTTAATTGTTTTTACCACAGTAGGGAATATAAACAAAGCTTGCGCAGGTCGTTGACAGAAAGCACGACGACAAGTACATTCAATTAGCAGACTGGGTCTGATTGAATTACAGTGAAGAGAGGGTCATTGTTGTCGGGGTAATATCGAAATTTCACACTCGTAGTCGGACGCACTGGCAGTCCGAGCTTCTCCAGGTCAAAAAA